AAAGGGATCTTCACTGATGATCTCTTCTGTCATCACTTTTTAATTTGCCTTTAACATATGGACATCCCTTTGGCTGAATCAATACTAATATATTCATTTTAATAACTGTGGTATTCCATAGAGTCAATGCAGTGCTATTTAGTCAGTCATTCTCCTGCTATTGGGTTCAAATTTTTTATAGCACTTTGCCACTACCAACAATACTTCAATAAACATCTTTGTACACATGTTTTTACATTCTGGAAACTTTCCTCAATACAATTGATTTCCAAAAGGTATATCTCCAAGTCAGAGTTTATCTTTTTCTAAATAGGCATTTCCATATTGCCTTCCCAAAGGGGTCTACAATTTTATTTCTATTAGCAATATATGGAAGAATTCCATATTCCCACCAGCACTGGATGTTATCCCTCTTTTAATTTATGACATTCCCACCAGCACTGGATGTTATCCCTCTTTTAATTTATGACAAACTGGTGGGTGAAAAATGTCATCTTATTGTAGATTTACTTTGCATTTCCCTGACTAGTGATATTGAACATATTATATTTTCATGTGTTTATTAGTCATTTGGGGTTTACTTCTAAACTCTTTATATTGTTTGACCATTTTTACACTGGAGTTTTGTGTCATTCTTAAAGTTCTGTAAGTGTTTTGGATACTAGGAATACTAATACAACATGTATGCTACAAATTTGTTGCCCAATTTAGAATTATTTTTTACTTTATTGATGGAGATTTTGACATGAAGAAAATTTTAATTTCAATGTAATCAAACTAATCAAATATATTATCTTTTTCACTATAACTTCTTAGGTTTTGTTGCTTTTTTATTAATAATTAGGAAGATTTTTCCTACTCCAAGATCATACAAATGTTTTCTTATTTTGTCTTACAGTAAGTTAATTTTTACTTTTGATATTTCAATCTAGTTCTATTTGAAATATATTTTTGAATAGCGTGAATTACCATTCTTTTATATTTTTCTTCCTTATGCCTGGCTAATTATGTTAGCATTATTTAAGAAATAAGTCTTTCCACTACTGAAACATAAATGTCTATTTTGTCATATAACATGTTTATATATTTTCATATCTATTTCAGTATTTGTTTCTAGTCTTTTCTTATGCTATTTCAGTGGTTTTGTGGCAAATTTTAATATCTAATAAAGCAAATCACCCTCCACCAAACTTTTTCTTACTTTCCTATTTCTAATAGACTTAAGAGCTATATGAACATAGACTAATTTTTCCAGTTTCCCACCGACTACCCCAACTAAATATTGTAATTGTAATTGGTATTGGAGTAGCTTTTTTAGACAATTGTGGAAGGATTAATGTTTTGTGATAATTGTTTTTAGACAATTGTGGAAGGATTCTAAATCTTTTCATTTAGAAATATGGTCTTTTCTCAACTTTTTCAGTTTCTGTTCTATGCCATCTGGTAAAATTTTAGTGTTTTCCTGTGGTAAACTCATGATTTTCCATTAAGTTTGCCCTTAGGTATTTTATACTATTTGTTAAGCCTATTGAATTATTTTTCCATTTCTATTTCTGAGCATTATTATTTTGTTATTGCTTTTTATTTATATTCTTTATTTCCAAATATGTTCACACTATTCTTTAAAATCCTGTTTGTTTGTGTAGGGTGTTATTTGTTTTTGTTTTTGTCAAAGTTTCTTGGATTTTCTAAATGCATAATACCATAATCTACAAACAAATTAATTTGCTTCTTCTTTGCCAATATTTGTATGAGTTTTTAGTTTCTTACCTTACTGCATAATGTACAACCTAAGTAAACAATACCAACTAACAATAATATTTCTATCCTTGTCTCATTCCTGATTTTAATAAAATGGCTGTAACAGCTTACATTTGGAATTACATTTGATTCTGTCTTTACAAGTTTAGAGCATTTTCCTGTTGTCTCTACTTTCACAGAACTTATATTTAGAATGGAGGGTAAATTTTGTTATTTCATTTTTTTCTTTTCTTTTTTGCAATTTATATACTCATATGTAATTTTCCCTCCTTTAGTTTATTACACTAAAAGGTCTTCCAATCAAAGCCATTCTGGCCTTTCTAAAACAAGCTGTTCATGTTCACATTCTTTTGATATATTACTGAATATTTTATTCAGAATTGTTACATCTGTCTTCATAAGGGAATATGGTTAATGACTCTCTTTTTGTTATTTCTTTACCAGATTTGGCATTGGGAGCTTTTCATCTATTACCAAAGTCTACTATTAACATTATGTGTTTGTTTTTGGCTTAGGTATAACTTAAATGTAAAATAATCTTATTTTGGCTACTTTTTATTTTTTTTTATTTCAACTTTCCTTTTAGATACGGGGGTACATGTACAGATTTGTTACATGGGAATATTGCATGAGTCTTGGAGTACAGACAGATCCCACCACCCTGGTAGTGAGCATAGTACCCAATAAGTAGTTTTCTAACCCAGCCCCTTTTCCTCTAGTAGTCTACAGTGTCTGTTTTTCCTACATTTATGCCCATGTGTGCTCAATGCTTAGCCCCAGTTATGAGTGAGAACATGTGATAGGTTCCCTGTTCCAGCATTAATTTGCTTAGGATTATTGCACTGTGGAAAGTAGTCTGGAAATTTCTTAGAGAACTTAAAACAGAGTTACCATTTGACCCAGAAATGCCATTACTAGATAAATATCCAAAAGAAAATGAATCATTCTACCAAAATGACACATGCACTGTGTGCTCATTGCTATGCTGTTTACAATAACCAAGACATGGAATCAACCCAGGTGCCCATCAATGGTAGATTGGATGAAGAAACGTAGTACATATGTTCCTATGGAATACTGCCCTGCAAACAGAAAAGAATAAAATCATGTCCTTTGTTTTTTTTTTCTTTTTTTTTCTTTTAACTGTTTTGTTTTTTAATTGCATTTTAGGTTTTGGGGTACATGTGAAGAACATGCAAGATTGTTGCATAGGTACACACATGGCAGTGTGATTTGCTGCCTTCCTCCCCATCACCTATATCTGGCATTTCTCCCCATTCTGTCTCTCCCCAACTCCCCACCCCACACTGTCCCTCCCCTATTTCCCTCCAACAGACCCCAGTGTGTGATGCTCCCCTCCCTGTGTCCATGTGTTCTCATTGTTCAACACCCACCTATGAGTGAGAACATGCAGTGTTTGATTTTCTGTTTTTGTGTCAGTTTGCTGAGAATGATGGTTTCCAGGTTCATTGCAGCACTGTTTACAATAGCAAAGACCTGGAATCAACTGAAATGACCATCAATGATAGACTAGACAGGGAAAATGTGGCACATATACATTATGCAGCCATCAAAAACGATGAGTTCGTGTCCTTTGAAGGGACATGGATGAACCTGGAAAATCATGTCCTTTGTAGCAACATGGATATGTTACCATAATCCTTGTCTACTTTTTAAATGCTATATGTTTAATTTCATTCTGACATTTTCTATTAGTTTGTTGAGGTTTTCTAGTTTTTGAAAGTCAATTTTGATAGTTTATTCTTGAGGGATAACATTCATTTATTTTATCAGTAAATATGTTGCCTTGGGGTAGCATATAACCTTCTATTATACTTCTTTTGTTCTTTTCTCTGTTTCTCTGTTTCCATTCTCATTTCTCATACTCTATGCTTTTTGTTTGTTTTTTTCTCTTCCTCTTGTATTTCCTTAAAAAGACTTACCAGCAGTTTATCTCTCTCTTTCTTCTTCTTTCTCTCTCTTTTTGCCATTTAAAAATGAACTTTTGGCTTTATGTAGCCTTTGCACTAAATCTTGTTCTCCATTTCATTATTTATAACTTTCATTTTTATAAATTGTTCCATTTGTTTTATTGTAGTTTACTTTAATATTTTTATAATTCTTTGGATATGTACTTGCCTATTTTTGGTCATTCTTTTAAAATTGGGTCTTTTAAAACATCTATTATTTTAAATTTACTGAGGTTTTGGTTTTGGTCATATTCAGGAACTTGCATTTATAAAAGCACCTCCAAATCCTTGAAGGTTTCTTTAAAATTAATCACATTATTTTCTGTTTTACTCTTTAACTTCCAACATTCTATTAATACATTCACTGCTAAAACTCTCACAGTTATTGTTTATATTTCCCCTCAGAAACAGGTGCTCATCTTCCCCTGAAGTTTGTGGCTTGTCAGAATGGGATCACAAGTCTCTTTCTTTCAAACCCATGAGTCTAACACCACATAAATTACCCAGAGTGCTACCAAAAATTCAGTTACCTCATTCTATTTTGTGGGCTTCTGGCTGTAAAGAGAGCGTCACTCTTCAAATAGGCTGATATCCTATATCCTTGGGAAAAGGCAATGTCTCGTTAATGTTTATATTCACCAAAGTATCTTGCCCAAGCCCTGGACATTGTATATTCTAAGATACTATAGATTCTAGGTGTCTGATGAAACAGTAGGCACTAAAACTTACAGAAATCACAGTTGAATTTGTTCAAGTTTAAGGACTTAATCCTAGCAACACAGACTCAGTAGAATCGAGAATGTGTCCCACACGTTACATGGGGCACAGTATATGTAACAAAGGGATATGTGTGGCACAGGAGGTGAGAGAAGCAGGGAGAAAAGCAACTGTTGCATTCTTTTGATTCTGCTGGGTGCTTGGTGATGCTATAAATAGGATAAGGCAAGTGTGCAGTTGAGTTGGTAGGGAGAAAGGTGAGGCATCTTAAGGCCTGGTGGAGGGTGACTGATTTCATCCTGTCTTTGTTCTGTATCTGATAACCAGGTTTATAGCCAGTACCTGTCAATGAAATATTTAACAACCTCCAGTTACACAGGCAAGAGGTCGGCAGTAGCTTATAGGCCTAGGTTTTATTATCCACGTGCCCAACTGCAGCCATTGTGGGCCACTGTTAAAATTATCCTTTGAATTTTCATTTTTCTAATAATTGCCATCAGTGAGAGGTGTAGAAAAAGTTCAAAGGAATGACCTGAACTTTCATCATCCTATACAGGAGATGACTGATGACATGGATTTATACACAAATGTATATCGTATATTCTCCAAAGAGCCTCAAAAATCACAAGAAGTTTTGAAAAACTGTGAGATCATAAACTGGAAACAGATACTCCAAATCCAAGGTAAGAAGTCTGAAGAAATGGGCAAGCAGCAATGCTTCTCAAATTGAGTCTTCAACTAATAGCATTAGCATCACCTGAGAACTCATTAGAAATGTAAATTCACAGAGACTCTGGGGGCTGGGAGAGGTAGAGCAATCTGTGCTGTGACAAGGACTTTAGCTGATTGTGGGGTAAACTCAAGTTTGTAAACTACTAAGCATTGAGGTATTAATCAGGTAGGAGCAGTGTAGATAGAAAACTCCATGCCTGACAATACTGCTTTATTGTATTTCTTCCCAGGTTTTCAAGAAAGTTTAGGTGAGGGGATAAGAGTGGCTGCATTTTCAAAGTCAGTGAAGGTAGAGCATTCGAGAGCAATCCTCTTTATTACAGAAGATATCCTGAACCTCAATGCCTCCAATAAAAGCAAGTTTGGAAGCTGGGCTGAGACAGGCCACCCAGGTGTTGAATTTGAGAGGTACAAAATACATGTGCTGATCATTTGTAATTGCTCTTCCTTGTACATTTTTGTAATTCACATAAATCAGTTTTGGAGTGAAGACAACATGAATTCATACCTTGGGATGAATAAAGGTTTTCAATGGTCAAAATTCATAACTTTGCAATGGTGGGTCTTGAAACAAGAAGAGTGCCTGGGATCTCTAGAATAGGATGGCACCCAGAAATTGCAGGAGTGGGGATGAGAGTTTTTGTCTTTCTTTTTGTTTTCTACAGCAAAACTCCCAATTTTAAGTATGCTCAGCTGGATGTCTCTTTTTCTGGGCTGGTAAATGACAAGTGGAGGCGAGGGAAGAATGAAAGGAGCCTGCATTATATCAAGCGCTGCATAGAAGCCCTGCCAACAGCCTGTCTGCTGGGCCCAGAGGGTGTCCCGGTCTCATGGGTAACCATGGACCCTTCTTGTGAAATAGGAATGGCCTACAGCATGGAAAGATACCGAAAGAGAGGCAAGATGAGACAGGCGATGGTGCAATTCATGAAATATCTGCGTCAGAATAATATTCCATTTTACCTCTCTGTGCTGGAATTTAATGAAGACTCCCTTAGATCTGTGAGGCACAATGGTTTCTTTGAGGCCGCCTGTGAGTGGCACCAATGGACCTGCTACCCACAGAATCTAGTTCCATTTTAGACAATGAAGCTGCTTAGCAATCTTGGGAAAGTCATCTCGTAATATTAAAGCAGACACCACAGAATAGCTTTCTTCACTTACAAATGTTTGTTGGGTATTTACGATGTGCCAGGAACTCTTCTCACATTGAGAACTGATGTTAAAAGACACTGCCATACTCTTGAAGAGCTTACAATCCAAGCAAGAGGCAGGGATGGGTATAGTCTTCAAATATGCATAAGTGTTGTAAGGAAGGATGGCGTTACCAGCAAACATGTAACTAGAAAGCCAGGCTCAGTTCTTACCTCTGGGAATTAGAACTCTTCAAGAAACTTGATTGATAGAATCTACTATCTAGAAAATAAATAGAGGACTTTAATAAAATTGGTTAATAGAATATTCCTAATCTACATGGATACTTTATTGTAAATAAATACACCTGCTATTTATGGATTTATGAGGCAATGGCTACACTAAAGAATGGAATCAGTCTCTTAGTTTAGTGACTAGAAAGGTATAAAAGGTGAAGCCTAAGACAAATGGCTTTCCTAGGCTACCTTTCATCATTGTTATGCAGAAAAGGAAATCCAGAGAATCAAGTCTGCTGGACTTGAGGCCTCTGCTATGGAAATGACATTTGTTGTGCCTCCTTTCTCACTTCCTCATCATTAGGGAAGCACAGCATAGGGCAAAGTGTTGCCTGCAGACTTTGGTGTTTGTACCACGGCTATCTTAAGGGTATGGTCAGGGGTCAGGGGTATTCCAGGGAGAAGTGACCACTAAGACGAGGACTGGAGAGTGAGTAGGAGTGAGCCAGACAAAAAAAAGCAGAAAAATCCAGATGATGGAAAGGACACGTGCCATGCACTATCATAAGAACTTTCTAATTGAACACTTGCATTACAAAATCCTCGATATTAAAAAAAAAAAAATACACTTCATGAACAAAATGTGGCCTCTTTTGGCTCCCCTCTGCCATCCTGACATTGGAACTTGGACTACTATGAACATTAAAGCTATAGCAAAAATAAATAAATAAATAAGACATTTTCATTTTTTCTGATAGTCTAGATTTAAAAAAGAAATCTTAATAGAATTGGCTTTAAGAGTAAAGTCTATCAGTATTAACCAACACCTATCCTTATCTCTCCATAAAAAATAAACCTCCGCAAAATTGAATGTTTATAGTTGATGCAATTTTAAACTGTGCAATTCCAGTAATTAAAGAATTATACAGGTCATGGAGCTTTTTTAAAAAAACTCCAGTTCATCTTAGAAGGCTGTGGTAGATCTGTTATCACTTAGTATGAACGAATCCAATCAGATTTCTAAACTCCTAAGACCTGGGTGATTTGTTACATTGACTGAAATGAAAGCATGGTCTGAGAAAGAAGGGAAACATTTCCTTTGGGATTTCAAAGCGTGGAAAATTCTTACATAAAAAATAAACTCAGGAACTTGGGGTAATATGAAAACAGCTATATTTTGGCACTCAAGATGCAAAAGCCAATACAGATGATGAAAGAAGACAAAGCAAATAAAAGTTGCCTATCTAAAAATCGTGCCTCCGGCTGGTCCTATATCCAGAAGAGGATGTTTAACCAGGATGTGGGGCTCAGGTCATCTTAGCACAGCTTCCCTCCTCTGCCCCTTCCCTAAATGCAAGCCAGATTCCCTTATCTAGCCCTTTGTGGCCCTGTTAAGAGGGTGATTTCCAAACATTATCATGCACTTGGATTAAAGAAACAACAAAAAAGTGTAAGAAAGAGGAAGAAAGATTTCTTAAGTATGGCATAAATAAGTCCGAAATTATCAATAAACACAATAAAAATGAATGGGGCAATTTTCTTATTAAAATATATGTTTTTCATGTTGTGTTCAAAACAAAATCCAAGAATCTGCTCTGGTTGCCATAGCAAAAATCATAGACTGAGTGGCTTATACAACAGAAATTGATGTCTCACTCTTCCGGAAACTGGGAAGGGATATGACTAGGCTCTGGCAAGGTAAAGTTCATTCTCAGTCCTCTTCTCTCAGCTTGTTGATCGCTGCTTTTTCTTTCTGCCCTCACATGGTGGAGAGAGAGGAGAGCTCAGACTCTGTTCCTTTTCTAAGAAGGACTTAATTGCATCATGGGGGCTATACCCTCAGGACTTCAATTACTTCTCAAAGGCCCACCTCCAAATACAGAGAGTTGAGGCTTCAACATATGAATTTGGGGGTCACAGTCATAAGAAACCATCTCTGAAATAAACAACATGCAAGAGTTAAAAAAAAAAAGAAAAAAGATATACTAAATCAATGTTAAACTGAAAAGCAAAGTAATAATATCAATACGAGGCAAAATAGAACTTAAGATGAACATCTGCTAAATACAGAATTCTCCCACAAGATAGGTCATGAATCTTCCTCCCAACATAACACAATACAACTACAAAATAATGTATGGCAAAAGCTGTCAGTCGTACAAAAGGAAATCGGCAAATCCACAGTCACAGTGGGAACTCAGAACACTTCCCTCAGAAAGCAATAGATGATGCAGATAAAAAGTAAAGACAATTTGACAAAATGCCATCACAACTTTATATTTTTGGTGATGTTGGGGTTATCTGCTTATTGTATATTTGAGAACTTGTGTTCCTCTCTTTGTCAAACTGACCAGCAGGTGTTGCTGGGGAGGGAAACAATCCATCTAGAAAGTGCTGGCAACTTGTCTCTAAGTTTAGAGGCTCTTGGTCCCCTCATGACCATCACCTATCAGGGGCAGGCACTGCTGATAATAGGAGCTAAAAAGAAATTATTTAGGCAGTTAGGTAAGAGATTCCTCGTTAAGGTTTTTCTTTTTATATAAAAAAAAAAAAAACAGCCCCATATAATTTCTTTTCTAACAAAAAATACCAAGCTGCAAGGATAGATAAGCAAGCTAAAAGCTTGCATACATGAGTGCTGGCACCTATGCCAATAGAAAAGGGATACCTGGAAGCCAGGCATATTCAACATGGATGTTACCTCTTTTCTTTGTCTTCACATGTGCAAGCAACATGGCACCAGCCAGGGAGAGACTCAATCTGAATAATAAAAGGTTAGGGTGGATGGCCAGCCTCTTTATGCATCATGTAAATAGCACACCTGGTCCAACCAATCCTCTGAGCCCTATGTAAATCAGACACTGCCTCCTCAAGCTCATCTATAAACCAACCGCATCTCACCCCAAACCCAGAAACCCACTCAAGCACCCTTCCTCCACATGAGGAAGCTCTCTCTTCTTTCTTTTGCCTATTAAACTTCCTCTCTTAAACCCACTCCTTTTGTGTTCACATCTTCAATTTCCTTAGTGTGAGACAACAAACATCTGGCGTTTCCCCAGTCAAATGATGCTGCTTCACTGCCATCTCTAGCCCAAGTGCCAAAAATGACCACTTTGGCCTGAGTCCCATGCTGCTTAGGACAAGCAAAGATGTGAACATGGAGTGGGGACAGGTTTATTAGAAAGACTGCAGTTAAAGCATATCCCAGGCAACTTTCCACTTTTTCTGTCATTTTCAAACTTTTTTTTTAAAGACAGAACCTCGCTCAGTTGCCAGGCTGGAGTGCAGTGGCGCAATCTTGGCTCACTGCAACCTCCACCTCCTGGGATCAAGCAATTCACCTGCCTCAGCTTCCCGAGCAGCTGGGACTACAGGTGCATGCCACCACGCCTAGCTAATTTTTTGTATTTTTAGTAGAGACAGGGTTTCACTGTGTTATCCAGGCTGATCTCGATCCCCTGGCCTTGTGATCTGCCTACCTTGGCCTCCCAAAGTGCAGAGATTACAGGCGTGAGCCACTGCGCCCCGACTGTCGTTTTCAAACTTAAAGGTTTTTCTTTTTTTTCTTTTTTTTTTTTTTAACAGTTTCTATTTCTGACCTAAAGACTGCTCTTTGTTTTCCCGCTATGACATATTTATTGTTTGTTCTAAAGACTTTTCCAACATTTCACAGGAGCTAAGAAGACAGATATGTGCTTGGTCCACACCTTGATCTCCTCTGCACCCAGAATTCTCCTTATTCTTTCTCTCAGGAAGATTCCATCCCTCCTATTCTGCCAGTTCCCTCATATTTGCCTCATACAGTTAGTTGCCCTTGTGGGCAAATGAACCAGGGCTGTTCTAATTTACAATGGACACCAACTCCTCTAAAATAACATCTGAGTCTTGGGATTTGCATATGAATTTTCCCTTGACATAGCAAACAGTCTTTCCTTTTTAACTTCACTAAAGGCATCCACTCCGGAGAATGGACAGCACTAAAATTCCACAGATTTCAAAACCAAACCTGATGTGCCTTTCTACAGTCCTTGGAATGAAGAAGAGAAAGTAGGTAGAAGGGATGATTTCCTCCTTCCTTCCTCACCCTGAAGGAGCTCCTATTTTTAAAGGGAAGAATTCGGGACAGTCCAAAAGAAAATCTTGCAAATCAAGACTTGCCATGCCAGCACAAGAAGGGTAACCTGTGTGCCTAGGGGCAAAATTTTTAAATTTTAGTAATGATGTCCAGTGTCACCCTTGGGGATAACAAAGATATTTAAAAACCTATAAGAGTGCCAACCTTTCAGAACCGTGTGTCTTCCCAACGGCCTACCGAGGCCTACATGACACCTCACTAGCAGCCTACAGGCAATCTTCAAAGGATCCCACCTGCCCCACTCAATACACATACACACACGCACACACACACACACACCCTCCTGCTATCCTTTGGCCTTAGATCTCACCTAACTTTATTCTAAATCTTAATCTCCCTGTGGCCCCAAACTCATGTGTTGTAGGGCCTTGGTAATCCCTTTATAAGCATATTCCTTGATTTACTAAAAACTATGTATGAGACATATAAGGTAAAACTTTTTATTTCAGGCCAGATTAGCACTCTTCTTATTACAATTACAAACACTGAACTTCTCAGTTGATGCGAAAATATATTGAAAAGGAATTATTATGCTTGTATAGTCATAGATTATCTCTGGAAAAGTACTTAGTGTCTAGAGAATGAGTGAAAATGTTTTCCCCATATACATTTTTTTCTTTTGAAAAGTATATCCTGTGTATATTCAAAAGATAATGTTTTTTAAAAGGGGAAATTGCCTCCACTATAGACTATTATTAGTTCACTTATCCATTAAGTTCTCTTACTAACCTACTCATTCATCATATTCCCTTATTAGCTTTTTATTCAATCATTAGTATTTTTTTCTAGTGCTCATAACAGAATACAAGTTTCTTTACTATCATATAAAATAAAGTACCAGCTATTCTCTGTTTCCTCCTGTACTGCAATAAGATATCTTCCAATAGATTCATTTCCCCATTCTGCTTCCTCCTCACGTCCAGACGATTGTGCTAAGTGAGACAAAATGCTTTTATTCCTCTACCCCTCATCCCACAGAGCCCAGTCCCTAGGTGTTTTAGTTCCAGATGTCATAGAATTTCCCTTGCAGTGTGTCACATCTATTTAAAAAATCCTTCTTTAAAATTTTTATTGCACATTCCCAGAGAGCCTATCATTGTACATTTAGAATTAACTCTCTACATAAAATTTGCCAGAAGTTTTTGCTACCACTGTTTCCTCTCCTTTTTATCTGCTCCTATCTGAGATCTC